ATATATATATATATATATACATAAATATCTATACATGAGTCGGTAAAAGATTTTACGTAGATTTCTTTAAAGCAACTACAACAGATGCACAAGGAGATAATGTTGGGAAACTCAAGGCCTGGCAATCGAATCGAATGAGTCAATGATAACTTTGTCTACAGTTTCAGCAAACTTGGGGAAAACAAGAATTGAGCGAGACCGGCGAAAAGGAGACGCCTGGATCAAGGATCTGCCGCTAAGCGGAGGAAAAGGGATCGCGATGAAGAAAGGGGGTCGGGGGGCAGGGGTTTTCGGCAATTAAGCAAAGTGGTCGTCAGGGAGTCAGGCCTATTTCGAATAAACCAGTACAACTTTAAGGGTTGTCAGGGCGTTCTGGCCAAAATGTACCAGAAATCCACTTGAGATAGGCGTCCACAGTTTGCTCAGATGACAAGGAGATGATCGGTGAAGGGAAGGTGTGATATCTGCAAGCATGGGAATCACAGTCTAGGCGCTCTGCTCGATGAGACGACAGTGATTGTGCTTCTGGGGCCTGGAGAAATAGCGTCTAGAGTGAAATGAACGCTGGGACTGGAACCGAATGAAATCGGTCAACCGGAAAGGACGCCTCTACGCGACAATGAAGTGAGAAGTTGTGATGTGGCGGGAGTGGGATAAGAGGGTAAAGAGTAGATAGATAGACAATGACAAAAAGAGGAGTGAGAGTGTCACCGTTGTCGGCAGAACGTGTTGTCGAGGGATTGACTTCACTTGTCACTTTGACGAGTTCGTAGGCTGGCGCCGAGAATGGCAAAACTCCCTGATGCAGTCGACGAAACGTTTGAGAATGTACCAAATCCATTGTCTGATGCCGGGAATCATGACAACTACTTTGGCAGACGACTTTGGACTAGCTGCATTCTACATAGTCCCCTTGACAACAAGACCAAGTTGCGACAACGAGGTCAACCCTCTTCTATTAATCGAAAAACATTTTGGTCCTCATATATTTTACTTAGATTTTGCTGATAAATAGTGTTATGTGAGATGTGCTGATTTACTGGTAGTCATGAGAACAATACTTTATTCGATAGTTGATAGATAGTTGATTAACTGGTAGTCTCGAAGACCGACTCAGTTACAAAAAGGCAATGTCGTCGGTTGCTATGGCAATTAAAAATCCGCTTCATCGGCAATCTGAAGACAGAATGTGATATGGAAAATGCCAGACATTCGTTGAAATGTACATCTGCCCTGTGACCCACGGAAACTCGTGGCAATGTGGCCGAGTGATTAACGTGTCAAGCTCCCATTCGGCACTGGATGAGAAGAACTTTTGAGAAAGCAAGGCTTTGTGAAGATCAGTAGCAACATCAGCTCTAGTAATGGCATTTCGGGAAACTTCTACTGCCACTCTTTCATCACCTTGAACAAAATAGAGTGAATACATCTCATGTAAATTGGTACTGATTCCAAACCATTCATCTCTTAAGTTGTCCATTTAACTACATTTGACAGTCATTTCCATGGGAAAATGTGGAATTTACTACGAATCAGGGAGAAATAAACGACAGAAGGGGAATAGATCTTAAGACATGAAGACATTTGTGAAGAGTAGTATAGTACAGACTACAAATTCTGCCAATTACTTTGTTCACATTTAGTGTCTACATCTTCGAGCAATACTCGACTACAATTTCGAAGCCAAGGACAAACCAAATGTGCACATTTTGAAGAGAATTTGGTCAGACTGTGTAAATGTTAAATCTAAACTAATTTACATAATTCAACTTATAAATCCGCAGTTTTAAAACCAAGACAAATTGGATAAATGTGCAAATCGAGGCTTTTACTTCGTAGATCTCTGGACAACAGTACAACAGCACAAAAGCATGTCGTAACAACATGGATTAGAGTACCATGCAAATTTGGTTGATGTGATCTTGGGTAAACCTTAGCTGGTTGTAGATGATTTTTCAAATTACGCATCTCCAGTTTATGTCACACTGGTTTCACTTGGCTTGTACTTTTCCTATTAATATGTACCAACTAATTCGCATACAAACTTTTGCCTTCAAGCACCCGATTTTTTCACTCTTCCTCCAAATGCTCTACTGGGCATACATTGCCTTCTTCCGAGTGGAACTGTCCGCCAATTGACG